GTTATATGGGGCTGGGGCGAGGCGGTGCGGGCGAAGAGCAAACATGCAAAAAGTTTCAGTTTGATTAGGACATTAGAGTATTTGAGTTGATAATTTAATCAAATTAATTACTTAGCGTGCGAACGCGAGACTTTTATGAGCGCAATTTTTAATAGTCCTGCGGCGAAGAGACACCGACGAAAAAGAGCGGTGGAGAAAAGGAAGAGGAGAATGTAGAAAGGAATTTTTTTCTCTATGCTCCTGCCTGCGGTGCCACGTTCCATGGGCTTGCATGTGAATGTGTGTATGAGTGGTGCTGTCGCTGTTGTTGCTTTGTCTATTATTTTCCTGTTGCTAATAGTAGAGAGCTCAAATGATGTGTTGCTGCTTTTGCTAGCGGCAAATGAGTCTATAATGAGTCTGTGCACCAGCGTGCGCGCAAATTGTTTGTGGCGAGGCAAGTATGCGGAAATTTGGTGCTGGCAACTTTTGTTATTGTTGTTGACATTACTGTTGTTGCTACATACATACATACATACATACATACATACATACATTTGTATATACATGGAGACATATACATGACTATGGAATGTGTAGCTTTCGGCAGTGCTGGATGTATTTAGCAGTTGCTTTCTACAGGCTCGCAAAACCCAAATCCAACACACACACACACATACACATATGCACAAACGCACAGCCATGTTTATATTTATGCCGGCATGTGTGCATTGGCAGCGCATGGCGTATGAGTGACATTTTATTTAGTGCTTGTGCAAATAGGTTCGGTCGTCTAGCAAATTTGGTGGCGCATTTTGAAATTTTCGTGGCATTTTACTACACGCATTTCGCCAACTGATGGATGTTTTGGCATATTTCAAATTTTAGTTTAAGCTTTTATTTTATTTTATATCTTTTTGATTGTTTCATTAAACAATGAGTAAAATTTTTTATGTATGAGTGCACAGTGGGGTGATAATGAGAGTTATATTGACAACATTTTTATTAAAAAAATTTTTTTAAGTTTAATTTTTCTTCAAAAAACCCCATTACAAGAAGGGGACTTCTCCCCTACCTCGCAACTATGAGCTGTGTAGGGTTTTGACACCCTTAAATAATGATATATACGCAAAGGCGGTGAGTAGGATCTCACTGTGATTTTTCCAGAGGAAAGGCAAGACTTCACTTTCTCTAAATATCTTACTTCACTGAGATCTTTTAAGAAGAGGAGTAAGATCACACCTTTTCGAAATACTTGACTTTCTGTTAAAGGGTGAGTAGTACCTTATAAAGGTCTTTCCAGAGGCACATTTTCTCTAACTGCCTGAGTTTTGGTAAAAGCAGAAAGTTACACCTCAACACGACCTTTTTAGATTGGAAGCTGTGAGGTTCATTCTTTTACTCTTATGTTTGTGAAGAGACTTAGAGTAGCACTTCAGCACGATCTTTGCCAAAGTGGGGGGCTGGTGGATCTCACCACCTCTACATACCCGAGCTTTCGTAAAAGCATGGAGTCGCACTTCACTGCAATCTTCCCAGAGAGAAAGTCGTACATCATCTCCTGTCGATACCTTGTTTTTGCTCAAGCTGCCTGTCATACACAATTTCTCTCTTCATGGTCTGCGGATGGTATTTTTTATATGATTCCTGCGGCGCTTTGTTAGTTTTTCCTGTTGTCGAATGTCCTCTACTTTATTTGTGCTTCGTGTTTTATATGATAACCGTGATGTGCTTAACTTTACAAATAGACCGAAAATTCAAGGAAATGTAAGCGGAAGAATCTTCTGGACAGAGCGACACTGAAGTGAAGTGCTTTTCAGTTAAAGTTGGATGATCGCTAAAAATGAAGCGGTGGACTAATTACTTCGGAGAGTGGGTGCTGTGAGATAGGTTAACATCCACTGAGATCACTATGCGGCCATTACTATCCTCGGTTTAACCAAACTCTTTAATATCATCATGGTATCCCATCAAAATCTCTACTATCTCTCAAACTTCCCAGCCCTGTACTTGGCTTCCAGTTATGTGGGTCAAATTGAAAATGATGAACGAGCGCTGGGCTAGAGCTTCAATGGTGGAAGTTCAGACCGTATACTGTCGGATTATTAGTCGCACACAATCATGCTTGGCATTCCCATTGATTAATTTGACCAAGGGATGCCTGGCTGAGTTGATAACTTGCATAATCTATACGGTACGCTTGAAAAAAAATCCGAAAACATGAAAAGAGTTCCAAGCAACAGAAAAGCAAAAGGATTTTGGTCCCTAAAAGGTTTCAGAGGAATTAAACATCATCATAACTTCCTAATTTTCAGCATAAACTAAGTGTTTAAATCCAAATAAAGTCTAGATAACCTCCAAATGATAACTTTGGACATAAAACTCTTGAGCAGCCTATGCAGTTTTCTCTCACACAGGCTCCCACCTACTTGACTCCCTTGAACTCTTCACCTCACCTCCAGTATTATGCCACGTCTGCAGCAAAATCTGTCTACCTTGTCAGATGTATTGTTGCTGGTTGGCTGCGCTTTTCGGTGCGGTTGCATTATTAAGTTAGCGAAATGTCGAAATAAACAAAAACAAAACAAACAGATATTAGGTCGTTTTAACCACTCGGAGGTGCGACTTAATAAAACAAACGCATACAGCTGTTGCTATACAACTTTTCACTCATTCGTATGTAGATTACACATTCGCTGCTGCACCAAATGCAGTCAACCATGTTTGCAATTTGACGCGAATTGCGCAAGAACTGGCGTACGTGTAAGTGGTTACGTGCCGCTTGAGTTCTGTGACGTGCTTACGGTTACAATGCGCCCACCGAGCCACCTGCACTGTCTCAGTGGCGGACTGGCGGGTCGCCTGTTTGCATTGGCTGGCTGAGTGGCTGGCTGGCCAGTTAAAGCTGCCATTGATTACGAAATCTTTACTAAGAAGTCAAGTACTTTTACTTCCTAGCATGCCACGCACACATATTTTATGCTCCAGTTATTTTTTGGTATTTTAGCCTTGTTTTTAGTGAGTTATCACATTCCGAATGTGCTGATGTGTTTTTAGAGATTATAAAAATGCAACGATGTGCAGGGAAAATTTTTATACAATTTTATTGAGTATTTTTGAACTCGGTTCGGTTACTTAGATATCTGTATTCATGGATATACTTAAATATTTGGGCAGATTTTCCTATAAACACCTGATTGAAGACCAGAAAACTCTATGAAAAGTAGAGAGATCTTCAAACTTCGAATAAAATGTAGAGTGCGACCGCTTGGGAAGGGAGCTCGTATGGTTTTATGTTTCCAAGTTTAACGCTTGGGCTCGATCACTCGGAGTGAAAAGTTTCATCGTCAAATAAGTAAGTGAGCTTCGACACGAGAGAATATCTTGCGTATACCGAAGACATTGACTTGTAATATACTTCTGGACAGGCGGGCTATTGGGCTGTAGGTACTACGCTACTCTACTCTACGACAGTGGGCAGTTGCCTTGGTTCCTATCAGAAAGGTTAGGCAAATAGAATTAGACATGATTGAGTGGTCGACAATTATAGATAAAGTTTCGTAGTCAAACTTCAAAGCTCGGTATTGGCATCTGGCCGAGATATTGAAAATATCTGTCTCTTCTTACTACTTCGCTGTGCGACAGCTATAACTACAATCTGCGTAATCCTCAGCTATCTTCTTCACTGGCTTGCTGAAAGCGTACCGGTTCGATCTCGATGTAGTAAAAACTCTAAGTTAACCGTGGTCACATTTGACAGTCTGCACTTCTTCACGCTGCATAAGTCTGTAGTTGTTTCCAAAGAACGAGCCATAAAAAAATCCTCCTATCGCTGACAGGCAACACCTTGGTCAAAGCTAAAGAAATGTTTCAAAAGCAATTGGCCAACATGCCGTTAACTTCGCTGCACTGATCTCGATGTCGGGGACCAGTGGCCGGGAATGTCGCCCCCGAACCATTTCCACAGTGGAACATTTATGCTTTCAGCTAAAGAGCAAAACATTATGCTATTAAACAGTTAGATGCATACTGCTGTGATTCTACCTTCAGGACCAATCCTTCTATTGGAAGCTGACATACAGCGTTTTCGGAATCTAAACACGACTTATCGAAGACCAAAAGTTTGGTCAGTTAGGGTCTGGATATTGTAATGATCTATTTTCTACCTATCCAGACATGAAACTCTTAATGAATGTTCTGTTCATTTTATAAGCTCGCGAAAACCCTCTAACAACCAGACTGCATTTGAAAACACTCGCAGCTTAGTTATCTTGCTAGAAATTTATTCGGCTGGACGCATATAGATTGAACTTTAAGTCTCTTCGGAGCACTTTTATAGTTGTCAAAGCTCAGCTCTATGATAGTTACTTCAATATCCCAGTAAGAGCCAATAGACGCAAACGGATTTTGCGGACAGCACTTCCCAATTAAAGAAGCTTCTGCTTGGTAGTCTAAAATAATTGTACTGTTCTGGCTGTCGTTATATTCAAGGATCAGCAGTAATCGTCCTCAAACCGAATTTTTCACTACTCCCTCTCTTTTCCTCTCTCTCTCTCTATATATATATCCCTGTTTATTTCTCTCTTTCTCTCTGTTTATTTCTCACTTTATCCTTCTTTCTCTCTCTCTCCTTATTCATATTGCCCTCGCTGTCACTTTCTCTCTTTCTTTTCATATCCCTCTTCCTCTCAATATTCCTCCTCTCTCTCTTCCTGTCTTTAATTTTGGGAGCTGACCGCATTACCTCACCTGATTGCTCGCTCAGCTGGACAGTTATATTAATTACCTCTAAATCCACTTCACTCTAACCTCACTTAAAGCTCTGGAGTATTTTTTCCATGTATCATTGAGGCCGTGTTCTCGTCTCATTTATTTCACCTATAAATATCACTCACTGTAAATATCTGCAAGTACGTCAGTCAACCAGCTCAAATACTCAGACTCCCCAATCCGAACTACAATATCCATGTAGTACAATAAAATATGTATTTTCACATTCATAGTTCTTTTTGTTTGCTTACCTTCGGTGTGGCTACAGCATGCGCTCCATCATATACATATAAATGATCATTACAGTCCAATTGCAACATATCGAAACGTAACATGAAACGTTGCAATATCGAATGCGTTTGGAATGTTATGATGCAATCCAGATTACGTTCGTTCTGCGACCAAAGTACGGCGCCATCGATTTTACGGTAAAGTTGTTGTAAGAAGTGATTCTTGCAGAGAGCTTGCATGTAATCTGCAAAGGAGGAAGAAAAAAAGGCAGATAAAAAAAAATGTTGTAGTCGAGTTTATGTATGTATTTATATACGTGTATATATAGGTATATATGTGGAGCTAAAAGTGTTGCTGGATACACACACACTCGCAAATATTCATTTAAGTAAAACGCAATGTGGTAAAAGAAGCTTATGGAAATAGCGTTGCTGCTCGCACGAAACCAAATAAAGTAAACTGGAGTTGCATTCGTTCAACTCTATGTGTGTGTGTGTGTGTGTGTGTGTGTGTGTGTGTGTGTGTGTTGAAGATTGCAAATCCGCTGTGGGAAAGCACTCCGCTAATAGTCGAAAATCACAACTTAATGCTCGCAAATGGCCAAAAAGTGGTTTGCTACATTTCACAGTTGATTTCATGGTTGTTGGCGCTTTGCGGTTGCGGACGACTCGAGTTGAGTCAAGGCAAGTCGAGTTGAGCTAAGTCGAGTCCATTAGAAGTTTAATGGCAAATAAAAAATTCATTTATCTTAAAGATTGCAAAAAAATCTTACACGCAAAATGCTGGTGGGAAAATTAAACTTGAAATGGCTTGGGGTTGCAGATCGCAGGGGTAGCTTGCAGGCTCTACAGTTCGACGAATGATTGAAAACTCTTTTGGTTGTAATAAATATAAATATAAATAAATCCGAAAGTCTAACAGCTTTCATAGAATGCTTGAGATTATAACCTCAGCAATGATGCGGTGGAAAAGTAACACCCGGATGGAGAAACTGCACACAGGTTAGTCGATGAATTCCAGCGGTGGACTTTTACAGCATGAGTCTCGATTTTTAGCTTGATCAGCTAACTTCTTCTGGATGATTTATTCAAGATATATCAAACAGATGTCTGCTCGAGAGGAGTTGGGTGGTTAAAACACCTAAGCCAATATCCAGTCACCTCTTCAAATGCCTCTTCTACGTGCCCACAAAGTATTATAGTACTCCACTAACTGGTCGTGAAGTCCTATTAAACTTTCTACCGCTACTACATATTCCAGTTGGCAGCCGTGTGACTAGCACTGCGCACTGCCTCTCTACAGACCAGTGGTCGAGTCCTGTTTTGACCAATGTTCAACATAAATTTTTCTAATTGCGGTCGCTCCTTGGTAAGGCATGCCATCAAGTCCACCGATTGTATATCTGATATGAAGAAAAAAGGGCCCTCATAAAAAACCAACCGGCGTTCGGCGGTGGCTTAAGAGAAACTGTAGGTTCCTCCTTTTTTTTCCTAAACATAGATATGATTTTCCAGAAGTTATCTTTTCGCTGTGCTCCTGCTTAGTTCGGCTCTTGATATTTTAATGAAATCTCATAGCAGAAGTCAGTGCTCTTCAGCCTGATTAAATTGCGAACTGCTTCTAGAAATTACCGGTTGTTGGATGAATTGTAGAATCGATTTATTATTCCCACTTGAGATACGCAAATTTTTAGTGTAGACTTGAGTATATCAAGATTCTTTAAACTCCATATGGTCTCATCTAGTAGAAGTGATGGCTAATTGGACAATCTCTTTAGGACGGTTTGTACGATTTCTCAAGGGCTTTCTAAGTGCATACAGCTCCTTCCCTCGAAGGTTTGGAATCACTACCAAAAGGAGCTTGCGTTAACGACCGGAATCTCATTGCTTGCATTGCAAGAAGGGTTTTGAAGACTAAAACTATTATATAAATTAGCCATTTCAAATATTTCCAAATCTTTCCCACTAGTTTTCTTCCAAAAACTGTCCCACCGCTTATCAAGCGCCACTACCGGATGCGCTTGGCATTTGGCAAACGGATGTGCCACAGACAAGCAGTAAATGAATTGATTTTCGTTGAACCAACAGAAGCAGCAGGAAGCACAGGTAAAGGCAAACCAAAAATAGTGCTTGTTAATTTCAAAATGTCAAAATTTCATGTAAATTTAGCGCTTCTCACGAAATTTCAAATGCAATGAACACAAAATTCGCAGAATATTACGAAAATGTTTGCTTAATGATTGCAACGATGATGCTGAGGATGCGTAGCGTGGTAAAGTCGTAGGTGGAAAAGCGTTCGCTTATGCATATGTATGTAGCGGTATGTGGTATGGTCGCGTGGAGCTTGTGGTAGCTTGGAATATTTTTGTGTGGGTTGGCGAAAGCAGAAATATGTTTGAACAAGGTTGATGACTTTCATTGCACATTCAAAATGACAATATTAAAATGTTAAATGAAAATGCTTAATTTCGATGACGATAATGCGCTGATGATGATAAGAGCGGAAATTTCGTAGAAAATTTGCATAAAAAGGAGCAAATGGGAAATTGATTTTTTTTTTACCGAAAATAATAATTTTGCGTAAGGCGTTCGCTGAAATTTCTTACGACTTAATAAATCTCAAAGGATATTCTGGATTTTTAGTACGGATAATTCCAAAGAAATTTTATAATTGGAAATTCACCTAAGCGCATCGTTTCCACGAGCTGTTGCAGAATTTCTCAAATAAATGTAGAAAATTGGCAACGTTGCAAACCAGACAACTTAATAATACTGTGAAAAGGGCACATACCAAAGAGCAGAGCTAATTTGAGTTTGTAAAGATTAGTTATACAATTTTCGAGAGATGAGTGAAAAGTGAGAGCTGGTGAAAAGTGACAACAGTGCAAAAAATGAAAAAAGTCTTTTGAAATTTTCAAATTTATTTCATCTTGCGAGTTTCTTTGAGCTAAGAATTTACTTGTCGCTTATATTATCAAAGGATATGATGGTCTCTTTTGTGTTACAAATAAAAACTGAACAAAATTTTTCATTGTAGATGAAACTTAATGTCTATATTGAATACCAAGAAGTGGCACAAGTACATTCCCTCCTGCTTTATATTAAAGTTGGATTATATCTCATTATCTTTATTATGTGAAAGCTTTTATTCAAGAGTTGAATGCTATTCTGAATTTGATAAGCTGGAAACAAAGTCTACTCAAACTCGCGAAATGTGGCAACAATGCAATAGCGAGTGAACTATTTATGTCTATCCAAGTCTCATTAAACTGAGAAGCGAATTTAAATTTTGAATTCGAAATTCATGAAAAATGACAACAATGCGTTGTTATAAAATTTATATTAAAAAGCAGCTTTAAAATCTGAAAAAAATTTTTTAGTTGTATGTAAGCCAAAATCAATTCAGGACAGTTAAAATTGGCAAAAAGTTTAGAAATAATAATATATATAAATCTTAAGAGTTTTGTGGATTTTTACATAATAGAGGTGAATAAGGAAAATAAAATTTTGAAGTTATCGGTTTGCTTTAAAGTTAGTCATTCGGAAGCGCCGAAATGTGTCAACAATGCAAGTAAATTACTTTGTCATTTTAGAGCTGGAAGAGAACATTGAAAGGAAATGTGTAAAATTGACAGGCGAAAAGTGGCAACAAGGCTTACTAAGTAACAGGCAGAAATATGTACGACAATGTTTATTGCTTTGTTCTCCTTCAAAGCTTATCTTAAATTGATATTTAAAATTAGATTTATAATCTAAAGAAAAGCTTAGAAGTTATTTTATATTATTAGATATTTCACCAAATTTATTGAGAATTGACGACAATGCTTTGGTCTTTTAAGTTTCAAAGTGCTTGTTATTTAGAAGAGGTTGGTAAGACATCTAAAAGTTTCGAGTTGTCGGTTTTTTTAAGTAAGCCCTTAAAAAACGCCGAAATGTGGCAACTGTGCATTTAATTTAAAATCTCACAAATTTTTTTAATGCAAATTTAGACTTAAAAAAAGCCACATCGTTGGTTTCTACTCATCCAACCATACTAAAATGAAATTTATATTCAAAGGTAAATTTATAATATTTGATATTGGTACAAAAGTCACTGAAAACTGGCAACAATGTTTAGTTTTTGAGAGATAATGCTTTGTAATGGCTTGGGACCTTTAAGGACTTGTAAGTTAGTGGTGGACAGTATTACAGTTCAAATGTTCAAGCTTTTGGAGTATCCTTGCAGTGCGTCTTTTGAAACCACGGAAATGTGGCAACCATGTATTTAATTTATTTCGACAGTAATAGGAGTAAAATTGGAACCAATATCAGTGTTTTTTAATGCAAATAGAAAATACTATGAGCAAACTCGAACTGCTTTAAAAATAAAAAAAATAGCTTTACTATAATTATTATCAATTCAGCTATAATTATTATCTAGCTGTTAGTAAGCGCAAGGTTCTCGAATAAAACTCCAAAAAAATACCCTCTTTTGCATCAAAATTTACTCTTATTTCTTTTTTAAAAGTGAAACGACATTTACGCAGAACTGAGAGAATGAAAATTTGGAAAACAAGAGTGCGAAATAAGTACTAAAAAATTTGTGGCATTTGCTAATACTTTCACTTCTTTTTCTGCTTGTGTCTCTCATACTCACTTTTCTACTTATTTGACTTTTGCTATGAGCTCAATATTTTCTGACAATGTCAACATCAAAAAAAAAAAATCTAACAACTGGACATTTAGACAAAGAATATCTAAGAATACCCTTTAAAAATAGGAAAAAATAAATGGAAAGAGAAGAATGAAAAGGAGAGAAGTGTGCATACCATATTTGAGTTTGATTTGAGTGGAAAAACTTCTGAAACCTGATTTTCCTCCTCCACCACTTGTCGGCAATCAAAAATGCAGGACACTTTTATTAATGCTCTTTGATACTCTCCAAAAACAATTTTTCTTTATTTTTTCTAAGGAAAAAACTGATATTTTTTAGACTTTTTTTTTGCATATTTAATGCATAGAGAAAGTGCTGGCTAATTTTGCGCTATTTCCCGAATTTAAGCGCATCATTAAACTTTTGTCACTTTTATCAAATACCAGCTGAGAAAATAATAATAAAAGAAAATTCGCAAAAAAAAAAAAATAAAGAAAAAGATTAAATGAAGAGTCAAATATAGATTTGTGGAGTGAAAATGAAGACGAATTGATTGAGCGCTCAAGAACAATGAGTGTGGTGTTGTAAAGAGAAAGAAAGAAAAAGCCAGAG